ATCAACCGCTTGAGTCGGTTGTTCCAAAATTAAAACCAAATCATCCGCAAAAGCCCGCAATTTATACTCATTCTTTCTTATCTTTATACCCTTGATTACTGTTAATTCTCAAATCTGGATCAACAAAATCTCCAATATTAAAACAAATAACAATGGAGATAATGGACATCCAATATTGTCCTTTCAATATTGAAAGTCTCAGTCAGTCCCCCATTAACAACAATTTGAGCAGATTGTTGCTGATATATAGCTTTAAGTGCTTGTAAAAACTTATCCCCAAAATTCATTTTCTCTACCAATGAAAATAAAAATTGCCAATCTAATTGGTCAAAAGCTTTTTCAGCATCCAAAAATATAAAAGCCACAGGAATCTGGTTGTTCTTATCCAAATACTTAATTAAGTTAATAATTTGTCTTACATTATATTTCATATATTGCCCTGTTATAAATCCTGATTGATCACTATGAATCAAATCCTTCATAACCTGCATTAATCTATTTGCCAAAATTTTAGTGAAAATCTTATAATCAACATTTAACAATGATATTGGCCTATAATTCTTGGGCTCTGTAAGATCTTGATCCTCCTTCAGAATCAATGATATAAACGCTCTTTTCCAAGAAGGAAGAACTTGTGCTCCCAACAAAATACTGTTAAAGAGCTCCTTTAATGGCTCCATCATTTCTTCAGATAAATTCTTATAATACGTCGACGTCAATCCATCTGTTCCTGGAGACTTTCCCACCTTTAACTGCTTAATAGTTAAACCAATTTCCTCCACAGTAATTAAACAATTCATCCCATTTTGCTGTTCCTCAGAAAGTTTAGGAAAATGTGCTGATTGTAAATATTTATCTATATCCATTCCCTTTATATTATCACTTGAGTATAGTTTTGTATAGAAATCCAAAAAACTCTTTTTAATCAAATTTTGCTGAAAAACCTCAGTACCTTTATATTTTACTTTCTCTATAATCCTAGCCTTCTGTTTCTTTCATAACTGATAGGCCAACCACCTCCCAGGCTTATTTGCATTACAAAAAGTATTATATCTCATATAACGCAGATTGGTAGCCACCTGATCTGCCATCAACATATTAAATTGTTCCCTAAGCAACTTTATAGAAACCTTTAAGTTTAAGAATAAAAAGTATAGTCTCTATCACTCATATTCCTTTCTCGCCAAATGTCAATAAGCTCCAATTCTTCTTTCAAATCAAAAAAAGTTTTGGGTAATTTAGTTGGAGTAAAAGTTTTAGAAGAGCTCTTTTTATCTATAGTTAAGTCCAAAACTCCATTCCAGTCACCCATCAAAATTACAGATTTATAATCCAACTGGGATATCTTCCCATGCAAAAACTTATAGAATTGCTTCTGTTGTTGATTAGGGGCATATAATCTGACAATAAGAACTTTCTTGCCTTGTAGTAATAATTCCACAAAAACATATCTTCCTTCAGAATCAGTCTCAATTAATTTAGCCGATAAATTTTTCTTCACATAAATTACAACACCCCCTTTTTTCCCTGGAGCTGGAGCCATAAAATGTGATCCCAAACGAAAGTTTATCAAGAATTTTGAATCCTTTGAAGTTATATGAGTCTTTTGCAGACATATCAAGTCATTATTATGTTGTTTCAGATAATGAAAGACCTTTCTCCATTTCTGTGGTGAATTTAAGCCGTTAACATTCCAGGTCAAGAACTTGGCCATCTCCACCGGCCTGAAGCCTCTGAAGCATGGCCTGTATATCAACTGTCGAAGATCTTTTAGGTCTTGCCCCTCCGACAGGCTCTGTAGTAACCATTCCTTCTACTTTATCACCACTCTTCTGCTGCTGCTCTTTTTCTTTATGTTTGTGGGCAGCTCGTGTCATCCTTTGATCTTTTATCTCAAGATTCTGTACAGGCAACACCGCTTGTTCCACGACCATCAGTGAGGAGGCTCCTGCCATAACAGGCTCTTCAATTATCCTTGTTTGTGGGGGTGAAGACGGTCTTGCCTTTAAAATAGAGTGATAAAAATCTCTTGCCTTTGAAACTGTGGTTAATCTATAACATATCCCATCATAATTCACTACTATTCCTCTTGGAATCTCCCATCTAAACTGAATTTGATGACGTTTTAACTCATCAGACAGAAAGGTGAAATCTTTTCTGCCTCTTAAAATTTTTGGAGGTATTTCTTTTAAGATTATCACATCTTGAGCTGCAATTTGAAACCTCTGTTTATAAAAAGCCTGTATAATTTCATTGCGAATAGATCTTCTGGAAAAATAAATAATCACATCTCTTGGTAAGTTTCTCTGTCTAGCAACCTGTGAGTTAACTCTAAAAAAATTTTCTATCTCATTCCCAACTACTTCTGGTCTCCATCCAAGGTTAAAAGCAATATCTTTCACAATAAGCATCTTTAAATCTTCCTGCGAATTTTCTTTCAGTCCCCTGATACGCAATGCAAACTCCATTTCTCTGTATTGTGAGATGGTTTGTTCATCCTGTGTAATTTCTATCTTATTCTCCACTTCCTCCATTCTAGCTTCCAGTCTTGTTGCATTTTCAGTAATCTCCTCCATTTTATCATCAATCCTTTCAATATGCAGAGCAAGACCTTGAAACGCAAATAGAATATCATCCCTGACTTGCTTATTTTTTTTCTCCAGTAATTCTTCTGTAATAGCCCTCTCTGCAATTATAAGATCTTTTACCTCCTCTTTAATATCCAAAGCATTCATTTTTAAAGCCTCTTGTAAGTCTTTAAGAGAAATTGCAGGAGGAGGGGAGGGGGGTGATTTTGGTTTAGACTGAAAAGCAGGTTGAGTCATTGGGGAGGAGATGGAAGCTTTAGGGACAGAGACCAAACATTTTGAAGTCATTCTCTTACATTCAAAGGAGCAATCTTGCCTCTATAATATCACAGTTCTTTAAATAGTAATAGAAAAAAAGGAAAGAAAAAAAGAACAAGATTCTTGCCTCTATATTTAAAACATAAACTATATCCAGCTTTTAACTTTGTTGCAACATCAAACAAGAAAGACAGTCGCCATTTTGCCTTTCACTTTCCCTTTCTTCAAAAGTGAAAGTAAACAATAAAAAGAGGAGAAGATACTTGCAGGAGTTAAAGTCACAATGAATCTTAAATCCACTTTCTCTTGGTCTGCTCCGTCTGCGTTTAAGTACTCACAAGCAACTGAAAAAAGCAGATGTGGGAGCGGCGCCTTGCTTCATCCCAGACTTTGGGACAAAGACGTCCTGGAGCGCGGAGTTGGCTCAGGCTCCGAGGGAGCTCTATCCTCCGATCCCCAAAATTATAGGGATCCAGGGGAGCTCTTACCTCTACCTGAGCAGCTCTTCTCTTCTCTTTCTCCCAGGGAAGAGATTCAAGCCGCGGGACAGTTGATTGTCAAAGTCCCGCCGGCTTTTACACCGATCCGGGAACGGGCGGCTTTATAAAAAGCTGCCATCGTCGCTGCTTGATCCACTGGAAGTCTCACGTGGTATTTGTTTTAATACAATTATTTCTTTACCCTTATACATTATTGATTCGTCTCTTGTTTTTATATATATTTCATCCCTTATTGATCTTCTAGTAAACCTTATATGAACCTCTCTCGCCAATCTATGCCTTCGTGCATAATTTGTGTATACTCTATATGTTTCATCCTTGTCTCTTTTTACTTCCAATTTTTCTTTGCCTAAAATCACCGCCAAAATTTCTGCCATCTTTTCTCCCAAATCTTCCTCCTTTTCCTCAACAATATTTTGAAATCTTAAACAAAACGAAGCCTTGAATGGGAGAGCTTGGACCCCAAGTCCTGTCTAATGTAAGGACCCACCCCACTTTGCATCTTAAGAAGACAGAACTCTTGGAATAGTTCTTCCAACAGACATCCTTTATTAAGAGAAAATGGTTGCAGGCATTCTAGACAGGACTTGGGGTCCAAGCTCTCCCATTCAAGGTTTTAAGGGGTTCCCCAGTAGCCCCACCCAATCACCCCCTTCTTCCAGCGACAGTCTCAGGCATTACACTCCCACCCCCTTTTCCTTACTGCCGGCTGGAGGGAGACTTCAGAGAGGAGTACATGAAAGGTAATAGCCCCATTGTTATGGTTAGTCCTTTTGGTGATATCCACATCCGGTCCCTTTGAAGTGTACTGAAGGAAATGAGGGCCATAAAGCCCCTTTGTTCACCCCCTTCCCTTCATCATATGACAGAATCCAGAGAAGGCAGAAATGGGGTTTTCTATAGTTGATAACTAGAGATAAAATATAATTGGATTCTTACACTTTGTTCATTTCCAGAAAAGCAATAGATTCAGTCAACTCCCTATTTGCTTGCTCAGATTTCTGTATCATCCCTTCTATTTTACTATCAACAAGCTCCATTTTTGTTTCAACTTTTTGAATTCTTTGTTCGTTTTCCTTCATTGTTCGTTGTATATTATCTATCTTATCATTCATATTTCATTTAAAAATGATTTTTATTAAGCCAACTATTCATTTTATTGCATCATTGAGAATGGCTTACATTAGTAGTTCTAGACTAATATTTCTCACATGTATTTCAGCTGTATATAACTCATCAAATTTGCATATTTTCTTAGTGGAGTTAATTCAATCACAATTATATATTTATTTGCCTTTAGTCTTTTATTTTTTATTAACATTCACAAAATACAACTGATAAAAATTGAAATTTCTTGGGATCCAAGCAAGATCCTACAAGGAATTATACTCTATCTGCTTCAGATAGAGTATCTTACCATTCTAGTTACTACAAGTTTTTTGTATCTAAATAATAAACATATATTAGTCCTGCCCTAATTAATTTATTGAGATGATTTTACATGCATTCTAATCTATATTTCTCTTTCATATCTTATATAAAATATGAAAACCGTCATTGGAATAGGTGAGAATTACTATATGCTTTAAGAGCCCAAAACTGTATTAAATTATGTTGTAATAAGTATTTTTTTAAACAACTCTTTATCAATAAGATATGAAGCAGCAGAAGAAGATTGCACTCGAGCTGTATTACTTGATTCTTCATATTCTAAAGCTTTTGCCAGAAGAGGCACAGCTAGAGCTGCCCTGGGAAAACTAAAAGAAGCTATGCAAGGTAGGATTGTGTGGGCCTGTTTAATGTTGTCCCTTTCTCTGTCCAACTCCTTGAAGGAAGCAGCTCCAATCCAACAACAGCATTCAGATATTCAAATTTCTGTGATATACAGTAACATAACATTTTAGCATTTAATGAACCATTTTTTTCTTGCTGCTTTTTAGTAACTTAAGAATTAAAGAACAGATAATGCTATTATTACAAAAATCCTATAGGTTTTAATCAGAGAAATGCTTTGGAAGTCTTGTTGAAGTCAGTGAAACTGCTAAGTGCTTACCCTTTATAGATGTAACTCTAGCATTGTAAATAAATGTGTATATTGGAAGAAACGCACTTAATTTGTATCTTTCATAAAAATATATTTAAAGCCTAAGTTCCTTTTTTCTGCCTTTGCTAGACTTTGAAAGTGTCCTGAAGCTGAAACCTGGAAATAAGCAAGCAATGAATGAAATAGCAAAGCTTAAAAATGTATGTGTGTTTATTCTTATGTATTTTAATACCATCTTGCAACAGCAATTAATTGCTTTTAATCTGGACATTTTGTGAGTATTAACCTCTTTAGATTTCCATGGATATTTATTTGACTAATCTTTCTTTTAAGGAATTAATCGCAAAAGGTTTTTTGTCAGACACTGAATATTCTGGACTACCACAGAATGAGTCAGAAATACAAAATCTGGTAAAACCCATTGATAAATCCTTGCATCTGAGATCAGTTGTAAGTAGTATTTGTTTATTTGTTTAAATATAAATATTTTAAATGGGACAAAATAGTTAATAATGTGATATTAAAAGGCGAGAGGAAGACTTAAGTATTAATGATGAAAGGATTCAAGTTTTAATTTTTTACAATTTTAGTGAGGACATTTTTTCATGTAGAATTTCTGCAAGTATAAGCAATTTGGCATAATAGTTGAAGTTACTTGTTTCTGACTCCAATCCTGTCTCTCTTACACGTTTACCAGTAATCAAATACTTCTATATAATAATGAGGGAATAGTGGGTTTAGTAGATAACAACAGAATGCTTCTTCATAATAAAACTGAATAAATAACCCAGGATTCAATTTCACTTATCCAATTCAAAGCATCTATTGAATCTAACCCATAATTTATTAAAGTAAATTAATTGCAAATCCAGGGCCACTAATAAATCAGTCAATCTTGGATTTGAGATGAGATGGGATCATTAAAATCCATAAATGGGCAAAACATTTATTAGAACTGAACAAAGTTAGTCAAAAGAGCATGAACATTTTTTAATTACCTAAGCTCTTCATCAGTTAAGACATTGCACAATTGGGTAGAAAGAGAAAAGGAAAATTAAAAATGCATCATAGTATTAAATCATAAAGTCCACAGTAAAAATGCCAATATCATTCTTGGAGTCAGTGCAGTCAGTCTACACTGGGTATTGCTGGTAACAGATTACACTCAGTTGTCAGGAACAAAGCAAATGGTTGATAGTTGATTTTAAAACCATAGTTAGTAATAGTAATAGTAGTAAAGTTGGAAGGGACCTTGGAGGTCATCTAGTCCAACCCCCTGCTCGGGCAGGAAACCCTACACCATTTCGGACAAATGGCTGTCCAGTCTCTTCTTAAAAAATTCCAGTGTTGGAGCATTTACTGCTTCTGGAGGCAAGCTGTTCCACTGATTAATTGTTCTCACTGTCAGGAAGTTTTTCCTTAGTTCTAGGTTGCTTCTCTCCTTGATTAGTTTCCACCCGTTGGTTCTTGTCCTGCCTTCAGGTGCTTTGGAAAATAGCTTAATTCCCTCTTCTTTATGGCAGCCCCTGAGATATTGGAATACTGCTATCATGTCCCCCCTTGTCCTTCTCTTCGTTAAACTAGACATACCCAATTCTCGCAACCGTTCCTTATATGTTTAGCCTCCAGTCCCCTAATCATCTTTGTTGCTCTTCTCTGTACTCTTTCTAGAGTCTCAACATCTTTTTTTACATCGTGGTGACCAAAACTGGATGCAGTATTCCAAGTGTGGCCTTACCAAGGCATTGAAGAGTGGTATTAATACTTCACGGGATCTTGATTCTATCCCTCTGTTAATGCAGCCTAGCACTGTGTTGGCCTTTTTGGCAGCTGCAGCACACTGCTGGCTCATATTAAAGTGATTGTCTACTAGGACTCCGAGGTCCCTCTCACAGTTACTACTATTGAGCATGGTGCCACCTATGCTGTACTTGTGCATTTGGTTTTTCTTGCCTAAATGTAGAACCTTGCTTTTTTCACAATTGAATTTCATTTTGTTAGTTAGTGCCCAGTGTTCAAGTCTGTCCAGATCCTTCTGTATCTGAAGCCTGTCTTCTGGAGTGTTGGCTATTCCTGCCAGCTTGGTGTCGTCTGCAAATTTGATGAGTTCCCCATCTATCCCTTCATCCATGCTAGTCTTCACATGTTGACAACTCAGGAATTAATAAAGGAGAATATTTGTCAGGGTTGAAATGAGGGGTCCTTGGTGCTCTCTGAGTGTTGTTGTTTTCTTGCAGATGTTTCATTGCCCAAAATGAAAATCTTCAAGAACACAACTAAGCTCAGAGTGAACCAAGGACCCCTCAAGTCAGGAATTGGGCAACACAAAAAAGTAGAATTCTAATTCATTCTCTATACTGCTGTTCTTTATCTCATTGTACTTTTGCACATTCAAATAATGATAAACTACCATTTTAATGTTATATTCAAGTCACTGAAAAATCAGACATAAAAGTATAATTATTTAAAGGAGTGAAATTGCAGTTATTTGTATTCAGCTTTCTAACTTTCTTTTTTTAAATTTTTATTAAGTACAAAGAAAAGAAAGGATTAAAAACATTGAACATGGTAAATCGTCTTTGACTGACATTTCAGTCCATATTGTACATTAATTACAATAAAGAAAATTATGTATTGCGCAGAACTAGATAGGATAACTAAAAGATTAAAAAATCAGGAAGAAACAGAATTTTATCAAATATGGAATAAATTTTATAAATGGAGGAAAAAAATGGAGGTCACAGTAAAGAGATAAACTGAGATAGAGACTAGAAATGCATAGTTGTATATAGGTATATTATATGTAGCTTTCTAACTTTCTGATGAGATTGATGGTGTCAGCATTATCCAGCACCGCCTTCACCTTTCCTGGATCCATCTCTATCCCCTCATGGGATATGCGATACCCCAGGTAATCAATATGCTCTTTGTGGAATTCACACTTAGATAACTTGGCGAACAGTTTTGCAGAGCGTAATTTTTTCAAAACAGTTCTGACCAATTTAATGTATTCATCTTTCATTTCAGTGTAGATGAGGATATCATCCAGGTAGACCAGACCCCCTTTATACAGGTGCTCCTTCAACACATCATTTATCAATTGCATAAAGATGGCAGGCACCCCCTGCAGTCCAAATGGGAGTACTTTGAATTGGAAACATCCTAACGGGCAGTTAAAAGCCCATTAATTTTCCTTTCTAATCCTTATGCGGTAGTAAACTTCCCTCAGGTCCAGTTTTGAGAAGATTTCCCCTTTTGACAGGTGTGCTAACATGTCCTTCATTAAAGGTAGGGGGTACATGTTTTCTACACACACAGTGTTGAGACTTCTATAATCTATGCAAAGACGAAGAGATCCATCTTTCTTTTCCCTAAACAGGACTGGGGCAGCTACTCGAGGTTTAGCTGGTTCAATAAAACCCTTTTGTAAATTTTTCCTTATAAACATTTCCAGTTCATTCAGTTCTCTAGGAGCCATTGAGTACATTTTTGGTTTTGGTAGTTTCTCTCCTGAGATGATTTCAGTAGCACAGTCTGTGGAGCAGTGATGGGGGAGTTCATCTGCCTTCTGCTCACTGAACGCCTCAGCTAAATCTCGATATTCCATTGGAAGGCTTTGCAACTCTGATTCATTGAGGGCGAAGGCAAATTCATGATGTAATCCACATCTCCCACCAGTTTCTTTAGCTATGAGAAGGGCTTCTTTATCTGCAAATTTGAATTGCCCCTCCCTACAATTAACCACAGGATTCCATTTCTTTAGCCACGCCAGTCCCAGGACTAACGGCCACTCCATTCCAGGAGCCACAATGAAAGCCAAAGTCTCTATGTGATTCCCCAGGTCTATGCGTAAGAGTCTGGTGGCAAAACTAGCAGGCACCCCTCCTGCAACGAATCCATCCAGCTGGCAAAACGTAATGGGAGTCTTTAATTTCCTGAGGGGTATTCCCATCTTCCCCACCAGTTCTGGGCTCACCATGCATCGGGTACACCCTGAGTCCAAAAGGGCAGCTAGTTTTACTGTCTTTCTAGTGCCAGGAATGGACAGTTCTAGGGGCACTGTTATGAGGTCAATTGGCCCACTCACCAGTGGGTCCTCATCATCGTGGGACCAGAGCTCGACCTACCAGACTGCTGTTCCAAGAGAGCTCCACGGCCTCCACAGTACAGCTCACCAGGATCTCCTCTTGCCACCAAAGGCGACTGGCCAGTTCTCTGAATTCTTCAGTATATTCAGCGGCGGATCTTCTTCCTTGCTTCACAGTCTTTATGCACTCCCAGGCTTTCTTGTCTGTCAGCCAATCCTGAAAATGCCTATGGAGCGCAGCCATAAAATGGTTGAAGTTTCTCAGCTCGGGGGCATTGCAGTTGTAAAGAGTCACCATCCAATCGGCCGCTGCCCCTTCCAGCACCAAAGTAACTACACATACCTGCTCCACATCCGTGGGCAGGGTTCTCCCATAGATTTGCATGTAGGTGAACACCTGTGCCAGGAAATACCCCAGCCTTTTGGGGTCTCCATTGAACTTTGCCCAGTTGAGATCGGCTTCACTTCTGGCTGGGGGGTCTGGCCCTGGCGGCTTGTAGTAGGTGCCCTCGGACTTGTGCTGCGCCTTGGGCTCCGACAGCCACTGCCTCTTGAATCTCTGACTCTCCCTCTTCAGATTCTTCCTCCTCCGACTCTTCTTTGGATTCATGGCCCCCTTTCATTTGCATTTTAAAGTCATTGAGGGTTTTCTTCACATACTCCATTATAGCTTCCATAGATCCCGGTTTGGGTTTTTCTTTCTCTGCATCTTTGTCTGGGGAGGGGGGTAGGCTCTGGCTTCTTCTTGGGTTTTTTCTAACTCCCCCCCCCCCCCGATTAAGGTGACTTTCGGGGCTTTCTCCTCCCAGCCTTCCTTTTTTCCAACTCCGAATGACCATCTGACTCCATCTTCTTCACCAGATGGTCCAGCCACTTCCAGGTCCCTGGAGAGGCTTTCGCTGGCTTCAAGGCTGAGGAAGTCTTCAGCTCATTGCGCTGCCTGGAACTCCTCCATCAAAAATTTGGTCGCAACTCCCCCGGTAGAGCAGTTTACTTCTCCAGGTTGAGTACTATGCAGATCTCACCTTCTATCAGGACCCACTTCAACTAATCACCCAAAGAAGCAGAACTCTTGAAACAGGCATTGTCTCAAAAGGAACTTTTATTAGGGACTAGTGATAGTAGGGAGTGTAAGGCGAGATCTGAAGAAAAGCCCATGTGAATGATATAATTAAAGCCAGCAATATGCCCCCTCCCACCGAAGTCATAATGTCCGTTTGAACTCCAGCCAATCCACAGGTGCGCGCATCTTCTCCAGCTTTCATTTCCTTGCAGCAGTCTCCTAGATAAGGAGACGCATTCCATACTCAAAAGGAGGAGGCCAGACAAAGAGGAAAGTGAAAGTTACCAACATAATCCCTCATGCACCCCCTCCCTCCAACAGAATGGCAAGCCCCAAAAGAACAGAGGAAAAAAGAGGGGTTTGGGGGTCTGACAGATAGATAGGATGCAACCCTGGATTATTTCACTGGAAGAGATAGACAAAATATTCTTTGTTTTCATTAAAACAGATATAGTTATTCTTTAGAAATGTTCATTATATGTAAAAGTATGTCTCTATGTTAATTCATTGCTTGGTTGTTTTTGTTTATTTAGAAACCTCTAAGAAGAATAAACATTGAGGAAATTAGTAATGATGTGCTAAGTCCAAATCTGATATCCACCAGAGAATCTGAACCTATTCAGTCTGTTTTTGATAACCCAAATGAAACACAGGAATTAATATCTATAAAGAATCAAAATGAAGATTTCTCTTCTCCATCTGGTACTCTCAAAGCAAAGCTGCTGAAAATAGAAGAAATTGGTGATGCTTTGTTGACCGAGTAAGCTTATATTTTTTAGAATAGAATATTATCAATTTTGTTGTGTTCAAAGGCTTTTTAAAATAAATATCCTATGCATGAATTTGTGCCAAAAGCATATTTGATTTTCTTACTACTTTTTGTAACCCTTTAGAATTATACATGAGTTTAAGGATCTAATTCAATGTTTCAACTACTTATTTACATACCTAACAGTTTTAGCATTTATTAAGCTTAATTGCATAAAGAAATTTGCATAATTTGCTACACAAGTGATAATTTAACATTTTCATTCTTTCAGAGATTCTAATGTACTTTTGATTATGCATGTATATCTGTGTGTGTGTGTGTCTCTGTGTGTGTGTGTGTGTATGTGAGTTTGACAAATGTGCTGATGAGGGGGAGGCACTGGAGAGCGGGGGTCAAGGCGAGACACAGAACAAAGCTCCACGGCAAGGAGGATGACAACAGGAATGTGAATGACGGACATGGAGGGGGGGAAGGTGGGAGAAAGTTCACTGAGATGGAGTACCCCAGGGAGGGGGGCCAGAAGAGAAAACAGTTTAGGGATGTGGAACATACGTTTGATCAAAGGAAGGTGAAGAATCCCCCTAGTCTACAGACATACGAGGAGGGGGGAATGGGTAGTAACACACACACAAGTAAGAAAAGTAAGGAAAAAGCAATTAGTGACACGGAGGCTACGACCAAAATGCGGATTGGTCGGCTAGGACCCGTGACGAGATCTAAGAGTTGGGCGCAAACAGCGTCTCACCTATAAATGAACTCCCCCATTGACTAGAATGTACCCTGACGATGTTGGCAGTCGCCAACGAAAGCTTGGTGTTTTATCAAATTAAAACTTTTATAGTTTTGTAATTTTCCTGGTGCTCGTGCTTTTTTAGCTATTTGATATATATATATATATTTAAATGGACTCCAGAAGATGGTAGAGGACAGGAAGACCTGGAGGAACGTTGTCCATGGGGTCGCGATGGATCGGACACGAATTCGCAGTTAACAACAACAACAACAATATATATATATATATATATATATATATATATATATATATATATATATATATATGTATATGTATATGTATATGTATATGTATATGTATATGTATATGTATATGTATATGTATATATATATCCATATATGTATAATCCTAGTAAGTGTACAGTGTTTGATAATAGGCTCCAGATTCAATGGGTAGAGAAATTATATTTCTATTCACAGAAAATGTCTCCAGAGGTGCAGTTGCATCAGGACATGGTACCCTGTACTCTGAAACAGGTAATTGTATATATTTCCTAATGCAAAATATTTATCCAAACAGAAATTCTCTGTCTTAATATTTTTAGATCTGTTACCACAAACACTGTGAAAGAAAAAGCATCACTTCAGCCTTGTGCTATAAAAAAACAAGCTAAGACAGAAAATTGCATTATTTCTTCTGTGTCTAAATTTTCCGTACCTCCAGTCCCTGTGAATTCTTTCCAACTTGAATCAGATTTCCGAAAATTAAAAGATTACCCCGATCAATTGTATACATATTTAAAGGTAAGATAACTCATTCTTTCTATGGTCTATGGTCACTAGTTTCTCCCAAATTTTGGGCATTTAACAAATTTGATTTTGAGAACTAGTTTGGTCTGGTGGTTAAGGCATAAACTGGAAACTGGGAGACTGAGTCCTGCCTTGAGCACAAAACCAGCTGGATGACCTTGAGCCAGTCACTCTCCCTCAGCCATAGAAAGTAAGGAATTGCAAATCACTTTTGAAAACTTGCCAAGAAAGCTGCAGGGGCTTGTCAGAGCAGTTTCCAGGAGTCAAGACTGATTTGAAGGGATTCAGAAAACAGTATTATTAAGTATAGTTTAATAGTGTAAGTATACTGGCATTTTTCTTTGAGATAAAATTACATATTCTATTTTATTTATCTTATATTTTTGTATTCTTGAATTACAGAATTATACGGATTCTACTTTTAAAAAGTAGAATGTTTCATATTAAATTCTTTATAACAGAGCAAGTTTATTGTATCAGTAAGTAAATGCCATATTTTAGCTCAGAGACAGCAGAGATAGTTACAGTCTATAAAAGCACTTTCATGAACTTCATTTTTGGAGAGCCCTATGTTCTCTTGTAGCTGGAAGAAATGGGCTGTCCAGTTCCTCAGTAGTTGAGGTACTTGTTTCTTTTGTTGTTGTTGTTAATTGCGAAGTCGTGTCCGACCCATCTCGACCCCATGGACAACGTTCCTCCAGGTCTTCCTGTCCTCTACCATCTTCTGGAGTCCATTTAAGTTCACACCTACTGCTTCAGTGACTCCATCCAGCCATCTCATTCTCTGTCGTCCCCTTCTTCTATTGCCCTCAATCTTTCCCAGCATTAGGCCCTTCTCCAGTGAGTCATTCCTTCTCATTAGGTGGCCAAAGTATTTGAGTTTCAACTTCAGGATCTGGCCTTCTAAAGAGCAGTCGGGGTTGATCTCTTCTAGGACTGACCGGTTTGAATGCCTTGCAGTCCAAGGGACTCACAGGAGTCTTCTCCAGCACCATAGTTCAAAGGCCTCAAGTCTTTGGCGCTCAGCCTTTCTTATGGTCCAACTTTCACAGCCATACATTGCAACTGGGAAAACCATGGCCTGGACTATACACACTTTTGTTGGCAGGGTGATGTCTCTGCTTTTTAGTATGCGGTCTAGATTTGCCATAGCTTTCCTCCCCAGGAGCAAGCGTCTTTTAATTTCTTGGCTACAGTCCCCATCTGAGGTGATCTTGGAGCCCAGGAAGATAAAATCTGTCACTACCTCCATTTCTTCCCCATCTATTGGCCAGGAATTGAGAGGGCCGGATGCCATGATTTTGGTTTTCTTAATGTTGAGTTTCAAGCCAATTTTTGCACTCTCCTTCTTCACCCGCATCAAGAGGCTCTTTAGTTCTTCTTCACTTTCTGCCATTAGAGTGGTATCATCTGCATATCTTAGGTTGTTGATATTTCTTCCGGCAATCTTAATTCCAACTTTTGATTCATCTAGCTCTGCCTTTCTCATGATGTGCTCTGCATATAAATTAAATAGGCAGGGCGACAGTATACAGCCTTGCTGGACTCCTTTTCCAATTTTGAACCAATCAGTGGTTCCGTGTCCAGTTCTCACTGTTGCTTCTTGACCCGCATATAGGTTTCTCAAGAGACAAATGAGATGGTCTGGTACTCCCATCTCTTTAAGAACTTTCCACAATGTGTTGTGATCCACACAATCAAAGGCTTTTGCATAGTCAATGAAGCAGAAGTAGATGTTTTTCTGGAACTCCCTAGCTTTCTCCATGATCCAGCGTATGTTGGCAATTTGATCTCTAGTTCCTCTGCCTCTTTGAAATCCTGCCTGTAGTTCTGGAAGTTCTCGATCCACATACTGCTGGAGTCTAGCTTGTAGGATTTTAAGCATAACTTTACTAGCATGTGAAATGAGTGCAATGGTGCGATAGTTTGAACATTGTTTGGTATTGCCTTTCTTTGCAATTGGAATGTAAACTGACCTTTTCCAATCCTGTGGCCACCACTGAGTTTTCCAAATTTGCTGGCAAATTGAGTGTAGCACTTTTACTGCATTGTCTTTTAAGATTTTGAATAGCTCAGCTGGAATATTGTCACCTCCACTAGCCTTGTTGTTGCTCAGCTTTCCTAAGGCCCATTTAACTTCACATTCTAGGACAGTGTTGGCAAACCTTTTGTAGATCAAGTGCGCAAACTGCAACCCAAACCCCACTTATTTATTGTCAAGTGCCGGATGGGCGTGGCCCACTGGGTGGGCGTGGCCTACTGGGTGGGCATGGCCAGCTTGATATCACTTACGTCAGGGGCACTTATGTGGGCCTGGGCAAGACTGGGGCAGATCTGAGGGTCTCCGGCAGAGGGGGGGTGGGACCGGGGTGAGCACCAGGGCATGGTCCACTGGAGGAGCCTCACTGAGCCTCAGGCAATGCAGGGGGCCCTGCACTGTGGCATGGACTGCCTGGAGCCCTGGGCAGTGGAGGTGAAGCGCCCAGCCTGGCCCTTGAGTTCCCACGGCACCAGGACCCCACAGCCCTGCCTACTCTAGCTGCACTTCCCTGAGGGGGTGCCCAGCTGCGTTTACCTCCTCCTCAAGGATACTGCTTCTGTGCTCACTTTCCTTGGCCAGGCTGCTCATGGTGGGTGCAGGAGGGCAAAGTGCGTGGGTCAGAGGGAGGCCCACTCCCTCTCCATGCAAGGAGACCTGGCTTTGTAACCAAAGCATCCTCAGCAATAGGATGGGAGACCACCAGGGGATAGCAAAAGGCCCACAGGGCTGCTGGTGGCCAAATGCTAAGGCAGGACTTCCCTCAGGCCCTCCTTCTCAGGTCCTCCCTCTCATTCCAATCTCCCTCCTTCCTTCCTTTCTCCCTCCCTCCCTTCCCTGCCTCCCTCCTTTTCATTCCCATCTCCTTCCTCCCTCCCTCCCTCTGTCACCTTTTTCCTCTCTCTCTCTCTCTCTCTCTCCTCTCTCTCTCTTTCTCCCCCTTTCTCTAAAGTCCAAACACATCTGTGCTACTTCTCTCCTCGCCCTGTTCACGCCACGCGTACCCACAGAAAAGGCTCTGTGATAGAGGATTAAACAGCTGGGTGATTTTGGGCCAGTCATTCTCTCTCAGCCCAATCCACCTCCCAGGTGTGTTGTGAGGAAAGTAGGAGGATAAAGGTATGTTGGATATGTTCATTGCTTTGAGCTATTTGTAAAAATAGTATAGGCGAGATATAAATAAAAATAAAAATAATTCATTCATTAAATAAATACTGGATTTCAGGACCTGTACTGATTTTCTAGACACGTAGGGAAACCAATCCAAAGTAAGCAGCAGGTTGCCTAGAAGAAGGCTCCACTTTGCAAAAGATGAGAGAGAGAACGAGAACAAAAGATGAGTGAGAGAGAGAGAGAGAGAGAAGTTGGATTAATTGAATGAATAGGAAATTAGAATGTAGATTCATCATAAGAAGCTACTGTGCTTTATTTATTGATAATTCATTTGTATTGAATTTAATTTGGCCTGTACCGTAGGACCAATGGAGATGGATATTAATTTTAAATTTTAAAAATATTCATCTCCATTGGTCCTTCAGTACAGGCCCAATCATTCTTTCCTGTTCTGCAATAAAGTAAATAATAATATGCATAAACTTGTACATATAAGGCCAGCTTAAGTGGCATCTGGCTTTTTAAACAGTGTGTGCAAGGTAATGGGACACTGATCCCTTTGCTGGTCTTGGGAATCTTGGCAAGCACCTACTCTTGAATTTACTGTTCCTATTTGGTTCTTGGGCTGCCCATGTCCCATCACTATGTGGTAGTACTGATCTTCCAGCAGAAAAGATTAATGTATTTCTTAAGGATGCAGCCAAAATCTGAGCTCAGGAAGTGCTACTCTTGATTTTGTATGAACAGGTTGGATCTGCTTGAATAGAACACAATTAGTTCCTGCTCCTTTATCACTTCTTGAAAATAGAAGGCAATAAGAAATTGCACAAGCAACAGTCCATGGGCCAATAAACAGATTCTTTTTGAAGACTACTGGTACTAAAAAAAGTCATGTCTTTAGTTAATTATAGACTCTGGATTTAAACAGTCTTCCAAAGAGGTTAGCTATCTTAGACATCTTGAAGGCACCATTGCATAATGCCAATCAAATGATTGTACAATTTATTGCACACTTGCTTTTGGTGACTTATATCCCCTCACTTCTCTACAGCAGCCATAGATCTGTCCTCCTTTTGAGGGTTATTCTGTGGGAATAGTGATTATATTCCCAAAATGCAAAAAACGAATTGTGGAAACCTTCCTGGTTTGTCTTAGACTACAGCTCCCACGACTCCCAGACCAGGTTGGGAATTGCAGACCAAACCTTCCCAGTTTGGAGTTTGGGAAGGCGAGCAGGGCCTTAACATAAAAGGCTGGTTCTCCTTTCCTCCAAGCTCTTTCTGCTCTGCTCATTCACACTCCCCCCCCCTGTTTCCGCCAAATTCTTTCTGCTCCATTCATTCACACTTCCCCCCCGTTTCCTCCAAGCTCTTTCTGCTTCACACATTCACACTTATCTCGCCATTTCTCCAAAGTCCAAACTCCTTGCTCGCCTTCCCAAATATGTGCGTACTACTTTCCTCGCTCGCCCTGCTCGCCATTTCTCCAAAGTCCAAACTCACATTGTTTTGCTAGCTTGCTTGTGCTGCTCTCTCACTGTCCCAGACTGCCAGCGCAGAAAGAGAAAGAGAGAACACTGCTGGATTTGGTTTCCCTGTCCTCTCCAGCTCCCACTAGTCAGGCGCACATGGAGAGGGGGAGGGGAACAGCCTGGTCCTGCATCCCTCTGGGGCAATAGCGCACATGCCCACAGAAAGGGCTTTGCATGCCACCGTTGGCAAATGTGCCATAGGTTTACCACCACGGTTCTAGGATGTCTGGCTCGAGGTCGGTGACCACCCCATCATGGTTATCAGGGACGCTAAGCTCGTTCTTGTATAGTTCTTCTGTGTAATTTTGCCAC